TTGTATAATTGAATAAGTAATGGAATAATGGGTATTACCTGTATATCTGTGTGGGTACTTTTCATCCATATTTGAATAAGTCTCAAAGTAAATAAGTCAGTATCGACTCCAGCTTGCTTAATAATAGAAAAATCAAATAATCCATTGTAAATGCCACCCATAAATACAGCAATTTTATTGAAAAGGTTTTATCGATAGCCAATAACCATGATTTCATAAGATATCTTCCCGTTGAATAGATCTCTCTGTTTGTTTCATAAATAGAGTTGGGGTTTGTCCACTGTGATTTATTTAATGCTTTGATATATGTTAATGACCTCTATGATATGGAAGCCATGTAACCCTTAGTTAAAGAGACATGATGGAAGCGGTTATTGCTGTAAGTCACATGATATGTTCATTCTAACTCAGTATTTTCGGCGCAAGCGAGCCGTCCTATGTAACTTAGCAAAATGTCCACATGTTCGAATAAAATGTTTAGAAAACACAATTCTTCTCCCCATTCTCAGATTTTATTATTCATCTGGTGATCATAAGAGCTCATATTAAAATTTTACAGTTCTGTTTACAAAGTCATCGAGAGTCACGCGCATTTGTATGTAATTACCTAATTGTGCTTACGGGAAAGAGCCTCATGCTCGTAACTCCTCGTCTCCTGGTCGGTTTCATTTTTGCACTCAGTGATGCTCATCACACTTGGCCTTAAAACTATGGATTGAGTTAGCATTAACTACCTCCTCGCTTAGCGAATTCCAATTATCAACTATACTCTCAGGCTGAAAAGGTACTTCCTTACATCCTGCAAAGAATTTTTCTTGTCTTCATGCATATGTGTGTGAATGCATATATATATATATATATATATATATATATATATATATATATATATATATATATATATATATATATATATATATATATATATATATATATATATTGTGTGTGTGTATGTGTATCATAATGATGCGGTTACATTATGTGACCACTTTTATTATACTGGTCTTCAAATGAGCCAAACCTGAGGCGCTGGTAAAAACTTCTGCAAAATCCCGCCACTGTGGTACTGCAACAGACCAGTATCAACATATTATTGCGTGGTGAATATTTACACAGTAATTATAGATAATTACATGTACAGCTGTCTCGGGTTGATGTATTACCTTCGATAAAATGCTTCACTATGAATGCAATGTAAAGGTATGCCGAGTTTCATGAAATTATCTTTTAGATTTTGTTTCTGGCAATGCAGAGTCGTTCTCCTATGGATTGATTCGATATATAAATATTTTTTCCTATTTCAGAATGTCAAGATATGCCTGACAAGATTCGTGTATTTGCTATGCAGTTAGACATGTGGGCACCTCCAAGGGACGATGTTCTTATAAGATACAATCTTACAGACCATTTTAAAGAGGTAAAATGGAATTTATACAGCACACAAGGTTCAGATACACCCTGCTACAGAGTAGCCATTATGAATATAGGGCTAATTATGAAAAACTACCATCATAGTCAAAACTATTCTTCCTAGAGATATTATCTCCATCCCATACATAGATATTCATAAAAGGATACGGTTACATACCGTATTCATTTATAACAAATTACTTTAAACTCTTTGAAGTATCTCTGTCGTAATTGTAGTTAATCCCTGTATTATTTCAAAGGTTTGTTTTATTTTTGTTTGTTTGTTAGCAATGTAATTTCTCTCTCTCTCTCTCTCTCTCTCTCTCTCTCTCTCTCTCTCTCTCTCTCTCTCTCTCTCTCTCTCTCTCTCTCTCTCTCTCTCTCTCTCTCTCTCTCTCTCTCTCTCTCTCTCTCTCTCTCTCTCTCTCTCTCTCTCTCTCTCTCTCTCTCTCTCTTTATCTCTCTTCCTAGAACGAGTTTTTCCTTGTTATATGAAGCATAAATGAATAATACATTATGTTGTATTCTATTGCTATGCAATCCCGTTTCTTTCAAACTGACACTCTTCATGTCGCAACATAAATGTGACGTGACAGGGGAAACAAAACTCCATTAACAATCCTTGAATTTCCAGGGTGAGATTTCGGAATTTCCTGAAGTGACTGTTTGCATTCGTGCTCGCCCCCTGGTCTTAATGAGTTACGAAAGCCACATCTCGGTTGCAACCTCCGATCAAGATAATGATGTCCTTCATATGTGTAAGTTCTTCCTTGGTGATGGCCAATCACTACCGTTCTTATTATTTTTATATGGTCATGTATATGTCGAAGGGATTATATGTTTAGAATACATTATATTACTGTTTTCTTATATGGCCGTATCTACATCGATTTAACGTGCCCGGGCACCAAGAAAACATATAGCAATAATAAAAAGAGACTGGAAGTCTCTGACTTGTCAGAAGTGAAAGGATAGAAATAGATAAGTAACGAATCCGCCAGAATATTCGTTGTAGATATAAGCATAGATAAAGAACCGTGACTGAACAAAGACTTAACATCGAGCTCGCCTGGCCAGACCTGTTTCAGTCCAAATAATGTTGACGACAATTGAGCACCTACTCTTCTTTCTATTATGCTCCTGCTACTACTAAAATTGTAAGTATATTATTATTATTATTATTATTATTATTATTATTATTATTATCACATGCAGGGGAAACGTGAGTAAATTTCCTCTCTAGCATCCCATATTTCTCTTTTTATTTACTTTTTCACTTACTTTCTTTCATCCTTCCTTAGATTCATCTTTCCTTAGATTCTGGCACCCTGTTGATTCCGGCGGGAGAGGGGATTGTATTATATATATTGAAATTAATCTCCATTACAACTGTTATTATTTGCTTTCATTTATTTGTTAATTTCCTCCATTGTATTGAAGTCTTTTAAGTAGCTCCAGGTTTTCCTGGAAATCATCTGAACTTTGTTATCTTCTGTCCATTCTGAACAGATCGTCGCGGAGAGCATCATGGTTTTTATTACAACGGCGTGAGACAGTATGGTTTTCTCAATATGACCAATGACATTGGTCTTCATGAATGGAGTCATTACTGCCATAATTTTCACCATGGAGAGTATAGAGCTTATATTCATGGAGAACTAGCTGCTAAAGGACCTTTCAGTGTTCCTCATAAAGTGCCTCTTCCACTCAAGGGAATTATCACAGTAGGGCAAGAACAAGATTTATTAGCTGGTGGCTACGACACAGATTAAAGTTTTCGAGGACACATAGCACAAGTGAACATATGGAACAGATCCCTCACGGCTGAAGAGGTCAGAAAACAAGCGTCATGTACTCGAGTTGAAATTGGAAATATTTTTTCCACAGACAGAGAAGACGTTGAACTACTAGGAGGTACAACAATGACTCTTGTAGATCCGAGTTATTTTTGTAAGAAGAATGTTGAGTACGTCATTTTTCCTGAGGCTCGTTACATGGCAGAATCTCGACGAACCTGCAACCGGATTGGGTACGAAGTTTACACGCCTGACGGTTTTGATCAAAATGCTGTATTGCACAATGAATCTCTGCGCTTTGCCGAAAACTGTCTTTCTAATTATCATTTATGGATTGGTGTTACGGACGAAGTCGTAGAAGATGTCTGGAGGAAATTCACCGATAATTCCATCGCTGAAACGCAATTTGAACTGAATGAGCCGAATGGAGGAACAGGAGAAAACTGCATGCTGATGTTTCTACCCAATGGGAGATGGGTAGACACGTCGTGTGTTATCAAATGGCCTGCTTGTGTCCCCTGTGAAGTAGACAGGAAAGCACCAGTTCGCTTGAGAGGTTTCTGTTTCTCTAATGAAGCCGAAACTTATTATGAAGTGCTTGGATATAGGTATGAGAAACCCTATCTCCACGGTTACTATGGTTACATGGTGTATAAAACAGATGATTATCTATGGGAAATGTTAGATACAACAGTGGGTGAAGTAGTAGGTATACTAAACGTCCCGTCAAAGGACACGTATCCAATTGGTCGTCATATCTGGGAGCTCAAGAGATCAGAATGTAATCAGTTGATTGGTTCCAGTATACAACTGAGCTTCTCCATTTGTGACAATGATGAATTTACATGTTCTAATGGAGACTGCATTCCCAAGGAGCGAAGATGCAATGCCAAGGATGACTGCGTTGATCTTTCTGATGAAGACTGTCAGGTAATTATTCTGCCGAAAGGTTATCGTCGTGAAAGGCCCCCAGATAATATTACCCTCGAGGGTAATCCCATCCATTTGGTGGCCACAATCAATATTCTCCGATTTATGGACATCAGTGACAAACGAAGAATTATCAACGTTGAATTCACCGTGGATCTTACTTGGAATGAACCAAGAGTCAAATATAATAATCTTGGTGATACTCTTGAATGGAACAAACTCTCAGTGGATAACAGAGAAACCCTATGGAAACCAGAATGATGTTTATGATGGCAACATTAAAAAACTAACAGACGAAGTCTATCTTAATAAATTAGGAATTCCTCTACCGTCGGATTTTAACAACGTTCGAATGGGTAAGAATTAATAGAACATGATCCGTCTGTCTACTTTTATTATGTTTGTGTTATGCTTTGTATTTAATACTCTCCGTCGATTATTTGAATACATAATGCATATTTGTCTAGTAATGCTGCATGTCATATTGTTTCATATACTTGTACTGATATATATATATATATATATATATATATATATATATATATATATATATATATATATATATATATATATATATATCAAGGTCCTTCATCAAATACATGGCATAATTACACTTACAAGCATTAAATTCTTTCAGATACTGTGTATGCTGGTGTCTCAGCAGACGTTATCCAGAAACAACATTACAGGTGAGTTGACACATAGGATTATAAAGCAAATTCAACCTTAATGATTCAGTAGATCCTGTATTTGGATTATTAATTCATTTATACCATTTTATTTGTCACAATTAGTCCCCTTTCTAAGAGGGATGGACACGGACATGTTGGAAATATATGGGAAATTAAAGCTGGATACCCTTTCTAACGCCCCGCAGTGGGATTTTAACCCACGTTAATCAGGCTTGGCACTTCCCGATTCGCGCGCTCTACCAATGAGCTTCCGGGGCCTCTTAGATTATTACAAACTATACGAGTACTTCACATGAAAGCATAATGATGCGTATTAAAAGCAACGTCCTAAGGCTAGAACGAAAATATACATTTTACATACTTAACTAATCCTTTTCATTTTTTTTTCTCTTGCCCCTTTAACCAGAAATATATTTTGAAGGTCTGGTTGATAGCTGAATGTCTTGTGCGCATAGATTGAATTTCGCGAAGAGATTAAACATCAGTTATCCAGAAGGGGATCTTGATGATCTCGTATATGGGTCTTGTTCATAAATTGGTTCCTTTACTTGCTCAGTAGTAGAGCGCTCGAGTCGGCAACTGAAAACCCAGACTAAAATAATTTAGTTATGAAGGTCTGCGTCCACCCCCATTCCAATGGGGAGTCATTGTGAAGCAAAATACGGTAAAAAAAAAAAAAGAATTGCTTGATATAGAGAACTGACAAATCAGTCAAATGGTATCAGTTCTAAATTATCTCATGTGAAGTAATAGGCATATTGCGTATATATTTTTTAGATAAATATAGATGTTGGTCATGTACTGTACTAAGTAGTTTGTTTGTTTGTTTGTTGTTTTATGTGTCACTATTAAACCCCATTCAAATGGGGTGGACAAAGGCTGGTTGGAGCTGGAAAAATAAGGCAAGATGTCTTTCCTGATTCACGGCGGTTGGCTTGAGTACGGGTTTATCACTTCCCAAGTCGAGCTTTGTAACCACTACACTACTGCGGTAGTATCAAAAGTAATAATAATGGTAATAAGAATTACATTATTATTATTATTATTATTATTATTATTATTATTATTTATTCATTATTATTATTATTTCTGTTTCCAGCGGGATTTTTGGGTGTTCCTTTGATGTGTTTTATTACCCGTTCGACACTCAGCGCTGTTTCCTACTCTTCCAACTGAACACCAGAAGGGAACTGGTCAAGTTTGCAGATGAAATGGCGCGAGTCATATATATGGAGGATCCAAAACTACCTGCTTATCTCCTCAGCAATTATTTTATCACGGTGACTGAAGGAGGAAATAATGAAACCAGATACAGTGTTCTGAAGGCATGTATTAATTACTTGCATACCAGTGGTGCAGTTGTTAGCGCGTTCCACTAGGGATGTGGCAAATCAGTGGTCAAGCCCATTTTAAAGCATTTTGCCCCTGGCCGGGATTCGAATCTCAGACACATAGCCAGTGTGGTAAGACGCTGCCAACTGTACCACCGAAAATATAGGAGTAGAGATCTCCCTTTTACTTAACTGCTGGATTTAGGGAATGAATACGTTCTCCTGAAAGCCTATGTTCCTTTTACTCTCTCTTCCCAACCTCCCCGAATGAGTATATACAGTATTTACATTGGAACTATTATTTCGAGAGAATTTTAATTTCCACATATCAAGAAATTTTTTCCTTTCCACATATCTGAACTGTACATTCCAAAATATTAATGTACTCGTGTCTACTCCCATCCCAGTGGGGATTCAAAGTGACATAAAATCTCAAACGACAATATGCTCATTTAAGAAATGTTGAAGTGTTTGCTAATTAGACATCAGTAAAACAAAAGGAATACAATATTATATTTTAAAAATATTTTTCGGATTTATTTTCTCTTTTTTAATAAACTCTTGTTAAGCTATAAGCGTGTCTTGGCTGGTGACTTTTTATGTAGCTGTAAATTAAATTTGAAACATAGATATTATGTTATTATTATTATTATTATTATTATTATTATTATTATTATTATTATTATTATTATTATTATTATTATTATTATCATTATTGTTATTATTATTATTATTATTATTATTATTATTATTATTATTATTATTATTATTATTATTTACTGAAGGCCATAAAAAATCATAAGAATTAATTAATTAAAGTAAGGCTACTTTCCTTGGCTTTACGAGAAAACACTCAGTTTTCTACAAGTTTAGGTTGTCAGAGTAAAATAATGAGAATTCTGTTTAGTAGGATGAAAAGATAATTGAGTATTTGCTGAGTTTCCCGCCTCCAATCTATTAACCGTCTGAATTCTTGGTTGCTGTAGAATGTAGGATAATTTTTGTCCCCTTCATTGTTGCACGGACTCTCTCCTCAGTTTAGTCCTGTAGCCCCAAGGTTATCAGCCTTGGTGACCGTTTCTGGGAAAGGGGTGACATATATAATAAAAAAAAAAGAGAGAGAGAGAGAGAGAGAGAGAGAGAGAGACGGGCAGTGTCACAGCAGGAGCAAGAAGATGCAGCATTTTTAACATTATAAATTTCTCGATGGCCAGGTGGAATTTGAATTAGACAGACGCTGGAGGATGATTATCATGACTGTCTTCCTCCCGACGGCTATGCTGCAGATAGTTGGATATACAACCCTCTTTGTCAATGTTGTATTGATGGACGTAAGTAATTTAAATACTTCTCGAAATCTTACGTGATTTGATTGGCTGCCACTTTCATGTGCTTCCCTTCACGCATGCTTCATTTTTCTTTTCATTTAATAGCTGCTATCTTAAAAAGCTTTTTTTTGGGGGGGGGATGCTGGCAACTCAAATCATGAAACTAGAACTTTTTAGATGTATATGCGTTTTATATATATGTTTATTTGTGTATTAATATTTTTTACAATGATGAAGTACACTAACTGATATTAGTAATATAAACAAGATCTTACATATAAAAATTGGTCTTACCTAATCCTAAGTTGACATCGTTTAGCCTAAAGAATATGATTTTATTATAGCAACATACAAGCAAAATTAACGTTTTCGTTCTAATAAGTTAAATAATAGTAACTAAATAATTAATACCATGAAAAGCATGAGTATTGCAGGCATAGAGTAAAATCAGGTCTGTATCTCATGGATGGTATTTTTGTCTCTTACATTTTCTTAGAAATTGAATATGCACTAGAATAGGCACCTGATGTACCTCAGTCCCAGATGAAACACCCTTCAACGTCAATCCTAAATGAGATGCCTCGCAAGTAACTAAATAATAATAGCCTTTTTAATACAAAAGTTATTATTTGGTTAGGTTATCCTAACCGAGCCTTACTTGACCAAACCTAAGATTACCTAATATCAAGCACCTGCCTTTTACCTCACTCCCAGATAATGCATATGAAAATAATATTAGTTGCCTATTTTTTTCATTCCCAGGTGAGAATGGCTGTCAGCTTAACCACCTTGTTGGTGTTGTATACCCTCTTCAGCAGCACCTCAGATGCCCTCCCTGTGACAGCATACGTGAAAATGATTGATGTATGGTTCTTTTTCTGCATATTTCTTCTCTTCTTCATTATCGTGGTACATGTTGCAGTAGAGCACATGGTTAATCTCGCAGAAGAGCAACATTTTAAACAGGTTTTGCCTTATGATAACAGGAGAACTGTGGAGAAAAGCATTCGTCCTACGTCGGATTCCGCTGAGAGACTGATGTTCTACTCCCGTTACGTGGTTACTCCAGGCGTCATCATTCTTTTCAATCTAATTTGCTGGGGTCTTGTCTTTGGTACCTCATTCAAAGAGTAGCAGTGCACATAATGTCATATGTTTCCTCCGAAGAATCTATTGTACTCTAATCTAACCTAACCTTGTTATGTGTTGTTAGATAGGAATCATACTCCTGTGGCACCTCTATGTTCAAGATTCTGTATTTATCTATATTATGAGTGTTGAGTAGTAGTTGAAAAAAAGAAAAGATGTCATAGTTAACTGGGTTGATAATAAAAAAAAAATTAATGTACAGTACTAGTACTGTATTGTATTACAGGAAAAAATGCAGATTTTCAACATGTTAGTCTCTAAGATAATAAGAAATTTTCCTATTCAAGCTTAAAGCCTTAATTTAGGACTGCGGTCCATTTTATAATGCCGAATATCGTTGAAGAGAGGCCAGGGCAAAAATTAGCTAGAAATGAAAAATATGTACTGTACTATAAATTAGAAATGATACTAAGCTTGGTATTTATTATCCAGAGTAATGGAAATTTTTATTATTTTCATCTTCATATTTAGTTTATGCTAATACAATAAATAAAATATTCCCTCTGTGAACCAAGACTTATTTTTTAATTTTTTTTATTACATATTGAAACAGTGAATACATGCAGACATACTTACATACAAGCATATTTATCTACATACATACATACATACATACATACAACGAAAGAGTTCTAGGATAAACATATTACCAGATTTGTTTCGATAAATGCATATACTGTACAGGTAAATGGTATAGTAAAGGCAGCATATATATATATATATATATATATATATATATATATATATATATATATATATATATATATATATATATATATATATATATATATATATATATATATATATATATATATTTTTTTTTTTTTTTTTTTTTTTTTTTTTTATCAAAATAAGGGCGGACTAAAGGCAGATGGACAAGGAATTGCTCAGAAATATACATGTGCTTATGGGAGGCCTAAGTTTGAATATGCAGCTTCCATTTGGAATCGCACTCAATAAAACCATACTAATAAATTGAATAAATTCTAGGACATGCTACAAAGCTGGTAACAGAAATGCATACGCTCATTTTTGAGGAGAGGCTAAAGGAGTTACACTTACCATCACTTGAAGCTAAAAAGAAGAGGGGTGACAGTGTTTAAATTCCTTCCTTTGTTTTGTCAGATTGGACAGGGAGCATTGTGTTTATATCTGTTGAAACAGAAGTAGAGGTCATAGATTGAAGCTTCGCAAGATAACTTCTTTGCAGGATGTAAGGAAGTACTTTTTCAGTGTAAGAGAAGTTGTTAAAATATATATATATATATATATATATATATATATATATATATATATATATATATATATATATATATATATATATATATATATATATATATATATATATATAGATAGATAGATAGATAGATAGATAGATAGATAGATAGATAGATAGATAGATAGATAGATATATAGAGAGAGAGTGAGTGAGTCTGTCCTCCCCCCTCT